GAAGGGCTCTTTACCGCAGCTACCGCTCCTCGCCGCCCCCCGCGGGAGCAGGCCAGGACGCTGTACCCGCCTGCAGGAGGGCTTCTCAGCGCCAGGCCCCCCTGCTTGTGCGAGAAAAGGCGACGAAGCGGCCGGAGCCAACTTCGGTCTCGGCGGCCAGCAGCGCGTTGTAACACCCGCTCGAGGCGCGCGTGGGAGCGGGAGGAGACCCACCACCAGGCCTGGTACTAACTGCTTCGGGCCCCATGCCCACAGAGCTGCAGGGGAGCTCCGCTTCACCCCGCCTGTCAGAGAGTCGGTGCGAGACTCCCGCGGGTGCCACAGCTCCTCTCAAACGCTTCAGCTACCGTACCAACAACCTCCTTAGCTCGTTGTCAGCCCTGTTTTGAACTACTGCCCTGCATAAGGGCCACTATAGCCCTGAAGCTAAGGAAGGAGTTGGGCACGCCCAATCTTGATGTAAGACCTTGCAACTGGGACAAGAGCAAACACTGACAGAATGGTGCTGCCACTATCACTGACAAACCCCAAATGCTATTCTGCATATACATAAGGTTATGTATGCACAGACAGTAGGATATGCCCATTGACACAGATTCCCTATGATAAGCACAAGGTTGGCAGCTATTGCCTCCAGTGATTACCAGATATCTTGCAGTCCAGTTCTGCAGGAGGAGGAAGGAAAGAACTGTAAGTAACCCAAAGCAGCACAGAATAAGGGCCAGTTAACTGGGAGGGGGGAGGAAGGGAGAGAGACACATTGTTTATTTATACAGTTCAAGAAAAACAAACACACACTCTGAACAAGCCATTTTTGTTCCACCTAGAAGAATTCAGTGTTATGGAGAGAGACTGCAAGGCCAGCAAATTCTGCCTCAAGTCCCAAGACAAAGTAGTCTTCTGGGCTACCTGTTGAGGATGACGGAGAATGCATCAGCGTAATGCTGTGTGCTGCCTAGGAAACATCTGTAAACCTGGTAAGCTTGTGTTACTGCTTTTTGATGCTCTTAAAATTACAGCTAGGAAAAAAAAAACCAAACAAACAGCATTACACATTCATGATGGAATTCTCACTTTGTTTATTCCCACTGATTACTGAAGAAAACACCAAATACATCAGCTATATATATTTTTACTATGAGGCATCATAAGACTTCATATAGTACCAAGTTAACTTCTAGTCACCTTACATACCACTGCATGCATTAGGGCTGGGGAACATTCCCAGAAAATAATTAAAATCCCAACAGGAAAAACAAGAAAATAAAGGGAAAAAAAAGGAAGAAAATAAAGTATCAGTCTATAATCTCCACTACTAAGACTGATCAACACTAATTGGTATAAGAACAAGTAAAAATGTAGTTGTTTTGTAGGCTTAAGTCAGATAAACGCTATTACATCTGTCTTTGTTTTATCATTCAAGTCAGGTTACATAGTCTGACAATACAGATGCAAACTCCTCTCTGCCCCCATAAAGGCAGATAGAAGACCTAATGATTAACAAATCAAGAAGAGTGTTACATAATTAGCAATAGTCAATTTGACTATGTATAAAATAGTCTTGCCTTTTCAAGCTTGCAATTCTGTAATACATTTGCCCTATACTCCTAGAAGGTATTCAAATACAGTAGCAGCAATACATTCCATGCTGATGCTCTATAATACGTCCAAGTTAGTAGTTTAATACTTAAAACTAGTTAAGTTTTAAGTTAACCAACAGAATCCCTGTCCCAAATACAGCTAGTAATACAATCTTGACAGGACCAACCCTCACATCCAAAATAGTCATTACCTTTCACAATGATTTAAGAGGAGCTATAAAATCAGAGCTGAGAGGTTTGCATATAAAAAAGAGCAGATTGACTCTATAGGAGTGGTAGAAATGCATCAATTAATCAGACCAGTCTTCTGGGTAATGGCAAGTTGAACAAAATACAGAACACTGCAACCGATAGTACTACAACATATCTAGGAACAAAGAATGTGGGTCACGTGCAACAGCAGAATGGTCACATTAGCATATGGCCATATTGAAAGGTTTTAGAAGTAAGGACATGGAAACAGCTCAGCATAAGCTTCAGCACTGCACCAGGACACTTAACACAGAGATAAGGAGATACAGATAGTAGTTGAAAATGGTATTCTTTAGTACTACTTCAGGACACAGCCAGCTTTCTCATTCCAGTGTCTACACATACATAAGATAAAAAAGAACTAGAAACAGATCAGAAGATCGATCTAGCAGACCAATATGCAGTTCTGAGCGGGCAAATACCTACATCAGTTCAAAATTTCAATCTCTTAACCAGGAGAAGGCTGGTTAACCAAGAAGAGGTGCAGTCTGCCTTCAGAAGCAGGATTGTTGGTACTAGATTAAACAGTTGTCTGTTAAAAGCCTACGTTAAACAATTTTATGTATTATTTAAATTGGGTGGTTGGGTTTTTTCTTTTCTTTTTTTTTTTTTCTTTAAACTGCTAAAAACCCAGAGACTTTGCTTATTCTTCATCACAACATTTCTGGCTCAAGGCTTGATGTCAAAAAACAAGAAAAAAAGTAACATTTACATAAAAAAGAGGATCTGTGACCTTCATTGAGAATGGACCTTTCTGTCTTTAAAAATTTATGCAGGTATAAATCTCTGAATGTTTAAGAATATCAGGAGAAAAAGAAAGATAGGCTGATTTTTCACTCAAAGTACCATGACAAATGCACCACAAGGCAAAGTATCAACACTATTCAGAGACTGTAGTGTCTTATTAGAATTCTCATCCCCTTTCTCTAGCGCAACTCAGTGGCATTTCTCCTCTTCCTTTCACAGCATATCTGAAACATGTAGCTATTTGCTCTCAGCTGCCTCCTCTGACACTAAATTAGCAGCAGAGGTACACCCACAATGCTGTTCTGTATTGGCATTTCCTTTACTTTGTAAATAAAGGCAAGGTCCATCCTGGCAAAAGCCTATGTCTACAACCATAACCTCCACACTGTGTCACATGCAATGACAACATTCCTTTGTTTTAGACTCAGTTATGAGGAATGGGATTACTGTTATAAGAATTGTGCAGTTATCTAGTTAATGTGCATAGTGATGTTCTTAGATGAAGAAAAAGAAATGGAACGCTTTCTGCTATTGCTGTCTTTGGGCAACATAAAGCTCTTGGGAGCTCCTGACAATTGCAAACAGTCATCTGCATTGCTGTACCACTCATAAAGCCCATTACACTAAGAGCTAAGCACATAAAATAAGAACTGTGAGCACTCACACACCTGCTTACCCAACTGGAAAAATGGATACATAGAAAAACTATTCTGGAGAACTTCCAAGGAGTTCTCCAGAATATGCAACTGCACTCTAATCAAAGACACAGAGAACAAAGACAGAGGCAATTGTGTCAGAACAATCTCTACACAGGCACACATCCTTGTGGTTTTAAAAGCCACAACAGCAGTTCTTGCAGCCAGTTTCAGTTGGACAAACTCTATAGGGAAGACATTAGCAGATACATTGTTTAGTAAAAGAAAAGCACACCACTTAAAACAGCGAACTTGGCAGCAGAGCTAGTGCAGAGGAGGCAGAAAACAATCTTTTATATACATCAAGAATTTCCACACGTTTATAAAATGTCTGCATACCTCGCCAAACCTGTAACAGATGCTTAGCCAGTGAACAAGGATTAATTTCTGGATAAGAGAAACATCCGCAAAGGAGATACAAATTTGTTCAGAACTGGCAAGGGAGGGCTCTTGTCTAAAAGAAACCACACTTCAGCATGCATGACGGTGTAACGTTGTGTGTCCTGACATGGGAAAACATGGAAACCTTAGGATTTGCTCTGGATCTCTTAAATCATTTCAGTAGGACATTTGGGGCTGAATAAAAGGAGAAAGCCAGAATGAGGCTGGGGAAGAAGGTCACTAATCCATGGCCAGGGCATGTTGAACATTGATTTGTCACAGGGAGGACAGCTAGGAGGAATCTGTGGACAAGATAGAGTGGCTGAAGAAAGGACAGATCACATGCTGCTTATCATAGGTCAAGAGGGAGAAAGCTGCCTTTGCACCTCAGGCTGTGCTTCTAGGCTTCACTGTGCACATCATTTCCAGACCAAAATCTGCAAGCCAGTTAGTTCTCAGTGACACTGCTCAACATCCAGAATTTTTTCAGCACCGTGACTGTGGCTTCAGTTCATCTTGTCAAACAGTAGTCAGCAGAGCAGCACAATGATTACACCTGAGCACCTGCCAAAACACTAAGAGAGATTAGTAACGCAAAGCAGTATAAAGGGATGTGCATTTTAATCTAGAGTTATTTGTGCACTGTGCTACAAACTCAGGTCTCCTCTTCCATGAGCTAACAGCAGCAACTAAGGAAACATCAGCCTGCAACACATAAGCACCTAAGCACCTAAAGACCTTACATTTATTTCAGTCCATAACCCTGAATGATAAGCAATAGTGTGTCCAATAGGTTGACCCAGTGCTAGGAGATTCCTTTCCCTTCTCCCTAGGCAAGTTAAGTGAAGATGAGTTTCTTTAAAAGCTCAAAAGAATATTTTAAAGTCTAGATGCCTCAAACATTTCCACCTGGTGTAGAAATGACCTGTAATGTTTAACAATGCTGCAAAGGAAGCAACTGGCCAAGCAGATTTCAGGTTCTCCATTATTGGAGGTTTTTGACAGCAGCCAACAGAGACATGAATAATGGTTTAAAAATTCCACTTCAAGACTGGAAGGGGTCTTCCAAAGGCATGTACCCCATTTCCTTTTCCCATTTGCTCCAGTTATTGCAGAGCTTGAATATAACATCCTTGTCCAATTTTAATCTTGAAATCCTACGGAAAATCAGTTAGTTATGTCTGGCTTGCCCGTTACATTAATTCCTCTATAGTCACGTAGAAGTGTAGTATTTCAAGAGCACCAGCAATAATGACTTTGCATTCTATAACTACGTGCCAAGACGCAACTTCAGCTCTGGAATTTAAGCCATTTCTGCCTTTCATGTTTCTCGCTAGTTTTAGGTGTTCCAATGATATATTTTTAAGCACAAAATATTGGGAGCAGTTAGCTGTGCAACTAAGCACATGGGCAGTCTTTTTTTGGCCTGATTTATATGTTCCGAAAAGCCTGCCTCAACACGTTTGGTGACTAGTGGGGAGTCATAATACATTGTTTTGTTTAACCAGTATTAAAAGTTTTTTATACTTTCATCTACTCAGTAGGGGTGGGAAATAGACTTTTACGTGCTTTTTTCCACCCACCCCCCTTCAAATATACATTTGAAAAGAAAGACATAAACATACAGTCTGAGATCTAAGCGCTGTAAGAATAATCTTACAATAATTATGGCACTTAAGTGCCATAAGAATAATGCTCTGCTAATACAATTCTTCTAGTCTCCTGATATATATGAAACAAACTGGTCTCATACTGAAGTTTCAGCACTGTTTAAGTTTTCTTAATTGTGCAATGCCAGTACTAATTCACTGCCATGGCCAAATCTGATCTATGGTTATTTATAAAGTGCCTGCTGCTACACACAGATGCTGTAGATTACATACTCAAGCAATTTATGCCAGCAGCTTGTATTAGCAAAATGTTCTTTTGAGCATTCCAAGATGCTCTACAGACATAATTACTCAAGCTGCATTAAAAAAAAAAATTAAAAAATCATACGTATTACTTAATGAGACCATGTGCAACGACTACACAAAAGCAATGGTTTTACTTCCAAGTCTTTCAACCTCAACAAAGGAAATAGCAAAAAAAAAAAAGAGTTACGTTAGTTCCTCCAAGAACTGCCCCAGTTTTTAGATATTAAACAGTGGTGTTTGCACAGACTATGTCTGTGTATAGGATATTAAAACATGGAAGCATCAGAACTCTGACCGTCTTTTGCAAAACTACAAGAAACAAGCTAAGAAGGCTTGTTCATTTTGCAATATCCAGACTTTTCTAACAACAATCACAGCCTAAGGGCTACTACACTTATTAGAAAAAAAACTAATAGCTTCATCGCCACAGGTATTATCAAATCAAAGGACATAGCCTTTTATAAAAGGCTAGTATTGTTTTGTAAGACTTTCCAGCGACTCCAAAGAACCAGCATTAATTTTGATTGACAGCCACCATCTTCAAACCAAGCCGTGAGAAATTTAATAAGATGAAACATTTTGCCTTTACGTCAGAACTTTCTGCTCCTTGGGGGTTAAATAGAAACCTGTGATTTATAGTCTGATAGTTTTTTTACTAAATCCCAAAGCAAAAGAGAATATGCATTCTTTAAGGGATCTGACTGCCACACCACCTTCCCCACAGGTTTTTCTAGTATCATAGCCTATTCAGTTAAACACCATAATTGTTTTAATTGGAGGGAGGGAGAGAGCGAGCTCAAAATGAGATCTTACAGGATTTAATCTTCACTACACATCCTGTGCTAGTGCCATGGACTTGCTTTAAACATCAGTAATGTACACTTTTTGCAATTACATCCAAAGAAAGAATATGCACTTTGTACGTTCATTAGAAGCTATGAAAACATCTCTCTAGGTTACAAACCTAGACAAGCAGTTATTCACTCCGATCCTTTGGCTCTCGGTATTTCCACTGGATATAGTCAAAGATGTCTTTTTCACATTCTACTGGTAGGGCCTCCCCAGCAACTCCTGCAAGCAAATTACAGATTCTATTATGAAAGGTGGGAGGTCTGTACAATCCTGAAATACCAAATGCATTGCAAGATCAAGACAAAACTGCTGTAAGTAAAACAGACTTAAAAAAACAAAACACCCCCACACAGACCTTTTCATACAGTGTTTAGGTACTGATCTCGTTAGTGTCAAAGGAAATAAGGTAATGAATTAACTTTGGGGCCATGTGGTTATGCAGTTAAATATACACACACGAATATAAATATATATAGTCAGCCCCCCTCCAAAACAAAACAACTGAAGGACATGGCATATCTTATTAAAAGAATGGGAAAACCACATATGTGCTGTGCATGACACTGAAAAAACAATCTTTATGTCAGTAAGCCTTTAAGTAGATTAGGTGGCCTGAAGAGGTAACTTTGTGCCACAGGCATATGTGCCACATATTCCTGCTATAATTGTGTTCAATACCAGAAAGGACACTGTGAAAAATTTCATGAACTACAGTATTTATCAGAAGTATTTCCAGTACACTGAGAAACCAATTTAAGGAGAAGATCACACAAAGCAGGTAACTAGAAAGAATACTCTGTGGAAAGGCCCAGACTGACCAGTGACACCCAAGGGACGGATTGTATACTCATTGATCGTGAAGCCCATTTCCAGAGCATGAGTTCTCATGTTCTTATTGAATATATCACTTCCTGTGAAATACAGTACACCACAGTAATACTGATCTTTCGGGATAAGCCTAGAATAAAATGGAAGAAAAGTACAGATTTAGAACAAATATGTAACAAAAACGTTACAAGCCATTTGGAATTCAGCCATTCAGACACTGTTCTAGGTTTAGTTCCTATTTACGTGCACACGTTCTGCTAATCTGTACATTTGATTTTCCCACAAGCCAGATGCAAGAATGAAATGAAATGCATATCGAAGAAAGGTTCAGCACAGCTACCCTGACCCAGAAATTACTGGTGTTCAGCCACTACATGGTTATGGTGCTTGCAGTCCTGCCAAGAATTAATGTCAAAGCAGTATGATAAAGTAGGTCACAATTCTGAAACTGGATACAAAGTCATGATCTAAAATACAGCATTCTTACTAATAACCTGTTGTAGATGCTGGCAGTTGTACAGTGGCTTCCCTACTGCAGAGGAATTAGAAGCCTAGTAAAGTGACATGTTCTGAACGTGGAAGTAGAGATCTGAACGCAAAACTTGATGCAAATGCCTGCTATGTAGCAGACAGCTAAAGTAGGGTTTGGGGCAGGGAGCGGGGCTGGGTGGGTTTTTTTGGTGTGTGTACCGGATATCAATTCTCCTATGTGGATAGGCTGTTCCATCTTCTTTATTTGGTAGCTGACAGACACCCTGTGAGGAAATAAGGAAAGCAAGAAATTCAAAATGAAATTGAACAGATGTGAGATCAATCTTCACCTCCCTACCCCCAAACAACATCTAAACATCCTCAGTCATCCTGGAGAGCAAAGTTAAATTCCCGCTGATCCGATTAAATATTTTACTAGAACAGCTGGATGTCATAGTACCATGAATCACTATTTTACACTGCTAAGAGGACTGTAGTTCAATGTAGCATATAACTGCTTCTTAAGTTTATATTACAGCAGGAAGGATCACAGGACTTCTCATTTCCCATTCCTCTGCCATAATTATTATCAGGCTCTTCAGTATGCACAAACATCAGCGGGTTAAGGAAAATGCAGATGAAGCTCAAGCTAATAGAAATTAAGAAAAAGAAAGTTTTTTCTTGAGAAACCCTCTGCCACTTTTCATTTCAAACTGTTTTGTAATCTTCATGAAATTCACATATCAGCCTTTTCTTTCTTCCCCTAGTCTATGATCACCTTAAATGACAATGCAGTAGGGGGAGAGGGACATGAGCCATAAGGAATGATGAGAAACATTTACATACTAAACTGTTTCACCAATTGCAGCTTCATGCTGAGACTTCTCCTTCTATTCTTAGCTTTGTTTTGAAAGCTTAACATTGCTTATGCTTTTAAAGTTACTTTGTCTGTCTCCTTACCGAGACTTGCTTTTCGCAGATTCTCTCAGCTGCAGTCATATTTCCCTTTTTACAACATTGCTTTCTTAGCTTCTGCTTTGAAGACAAGAGCTATTCCACAACTACTCAAGACTGACAGGATTATACAGAGCAAATGGTCAAACTATAATGAGCTTGTTGAACTGTGAATACAAACTGTGAATGCAGAGTGTCTCTGCTTTTGGCTCACAGATGTACATTTAGGTTTAAACCCATACGGTATTCACACTTAAACCATTTGGCAAGAATGAGAGCGACTTTCACATATTCCTCATAAAGATTAAGCGAAGAAAAAAAAAAAAGCCATCAAGTTTCACTCCCTCTCAGAATGCAACACATACTAAACTGAAGACTAAATTCTCAGAGTTCTTTGAGCTCTTATTTTAAGCAAAACCAAACTAACAAACAAAAAAATAAAATAATCAAGTGCTCCAACAGCCCCTTTCATCTTGGGAAAGCAAATATCTTTAACTGTAGTATTATATATTTAAGTATTTATGCCTTCCAAAAGATTAGCTGAATATAACGGTTATCTTGATTCTTGAATAGAAATTCATAAAGAAAGTCATGGAATGACTCTATGACTCTCTCTCTCGTGAATGACTCTCTCTCTCTCGTGAATGACTCTCTCTCTCTCGTGAATGACTCTCTCTCTCTCGTGAATGACTCTCTCTCTCGTGAATGACTCTCTCTCTCTCGTGAATGACTCTCTCTCTCTCGTGAATGACTCTCTCTCTCTCGTGAATGACTCTCTCTCTCTCGTGAATGACTCTCTCTCTCGTGAATGACTCTCTCTCTCTCGTGAATGACTCTCTCTCTCTCGTGAATGACTCTCTCTCTCGTGAATGACTCTCTCTCTCTCGTGAATGACTCTCTCTCTCGTGAATGACTCTCTCTCTCTCGTGAATGACTCTCTCCTGCAGGACCACTCCCCTGAGCTTCCAAGGAATTCCATAAAGCCACTACGAGTGACTGACAGGAACTAACCAGTCGTCATTTCCACTCAGTATTGCCTACCGTTCTACACTTCTCTGTTAGAATTAACTTTTAACCAGCCTGTAAGATCAGGATACCTGGGGCCAGTAAAGAAAATTAAGTGAAGCAAGATTAGCACCCAATCCACATGTTTGGGGGGGGGGGGAAGTTTTGCTGTGAGCGAGGAACCTAACAAAATGAATGTTCCTGTAATTCATTACTTTCTTTAGGCATCCCACATATTCCCTATTACATTCTGAATCTAGCAGCTTATCCATTAATCTGCTCTGCAACAAAATTGACAAAAAAGAGACAAAAGTATATTATGTATTAGACAAAACAAGGTAAACATAGGCCCAAGATCAAAGATAGTGTTTTCAAGATCTTGAGGACAGAGTTACAAAAGTGGTCATTGGTGCAGCTGAAGAAGTGAGGGAACACTCACTGGGGAAACATCAAGCAAAATAGAGACACAATGAGCATTGTGTGATGAATGTTGTGTCAGTGGGGTTCAGAAGTACATAAATACCTGTATATTTTCTAATACTGAAATCTTACCATGAGAGATTCACTAAGAGTTAACTGCAGAAAGTTTTTATGGGGGGAAGGGGGGGAATTAAAAACAACAACAAAAAAAATCACAACTCCAGCACTCCAAACAATGTATCTTGTATACATCCTAGCTTCTGTCAGAAAAGGTAGTCCCCCCCAACATCTCTCACCACCAAAAAAGCCTTACCATGAATTTGGTATCACCTTTAGACAGCATATCTGTGACAAAGTGGACTTTTTCCAGTTGTTCTACAACTTGACGCAGAAGTTTTGGCTAGGAACAGTGACAACACAGAACAAGAAGTTATTTCACAAATAACAAGAATATCTTACCCATTTACCAGACAATTTACCCATTTACCACGTAAGTACAGGACATCACTATAATTATATGTATTACTGTACATGAAATTTGACCCAGAGGGGAAAAAAAAGTAACAATAATACTGAGAACAAGCTAATAAAATTACAGTTGTGCAATGTAAAAAAAATTTCAACCGAAATCCCCATGTCAGATTGCTTTCGTTAGAAGTGACAAAACTAATTTCTTGGTTTGAGTTTGCAACTTTTAAGCAATGAATCTATAGAAGCAACACAAGAAATACAAACTGTCATTAAGACTTCTCCAGAGTTAGTCCCAAAAGATTACGAGATTACATTTGCTTCTTGTCCAAAAGATTATGGCTACATAAAGAGATACTTACTCTACCTTTAATCCCTGCTTTATCCAGCTAGCTGTTACAGTTCTACGATGTAAAAGCACATGAATTCGAGGGGGCAGGGGAGTATGTGTGAAGGGAAGCAGAGGGACAGAAGGATAAGAGTAAATATACTTAATAGTTCTGCAAGAGGAACACAACATAATACATGGACCTGAGAAGTGATTATAACTCCTCAAAATAAACATGGTGATCCAAGAGAAGCATTTACTATTACAGTAACAAAAATATGCAAGAAGCTGCAATACAAGTCTGAGACTACATATCTTATGAATTTAAACATACCCTTGTGGAAGTAATGCACAGTACTGATTCACAGTAGCAGAGAAACACACCTGTTTGGATGATTCAGATGTGAAACTCGGATGGGTTAGGAGAACATCCATATCACCGCTTGACTCTGCACCTAGGCAAGTAAGAAGCAAAGAAAAATCCCTCTGCATATGACAAGGTATACTACTAACATTGGTGAACATTCATCTAACCTCTTCCTATAAACATGTTTTTCTGGTAGAAAATAGTCAGTCACTATTCAAGATATTTGCAAAAAAAGGATCTTAAAGTAAGAGAACCTTGTTCTTCCATCAAAAAGTTTATATCTCCACATATCTCAGAAAACACCCAATGATTTCTTGCTATACTCTATAGCAATGAAGCACAAATGTTGTTAATGTAAAAACAAAGCAAACAATTCACATTACAACATACTACTCTATGGGGGCAGGGTGGAGAAGCAAGGATTTATGCAAGTGTTTCACCACTGAACTAACCAGTCAAGACAATACTAACAGGGAAAAGCCAGGTTCCAGCAAAAGCTTTCTCTCTAGAAGAACAACATATATAGTCATGAGTCTTGCTTATTAGCCCAGAATAAACATCATTAAGATCACAGAGTACCAACCTCGTCTGAAACTGCCACAGACTGTAGCAATATAGTTTGGGTCCACCTTCTTTACCTCTTTCAGCACAATTTCCTATGTAGAAAGGAAAGATGTGTGTTTAGAGGTGTCGGTCATTCATTGGCCATCAGTGCCTCACATCCTCGACAAAGATATTCTTACCTGCATTTGCAGCATTTCTTCCCTTGGGATTCTTTTCTCAAAATCTTCAAAATATCTGCACATATAAAAATAAAAGCGTCTGAAAGAGTGGCAAGGGTAGTATCTTAAAGTTTTAGTCAGTTAAATGTGTATCAGAGGAAAGAATACAACTTGTATTACTGTCACATCACAAAAAGCTCCCCATTCTCACCAAACATCTTAGAAAACATCTTGCCAAGCGATAGTAAAAACTCACAACTGCAAGTTTGACAATGCTTAGAAGATGGTTTCATTGCATATTATTTCCACTGTATATGAAGAGCTGCTATGAGGTGGAAGTAATACTACCGTATAACCAATTGGTTTATATTTACATAGCCCTCTGAAAATACAAAAGGCTCCTGACAAAACTCGGTCCACCAGCAAGCAGGAGGAACAGGTCCCTCACCCATGGTCAGAGGTGATCTATGTTGGTAAGAGCTAAACGGAAGCTCACAAGTCAAATACAGCTCCTGATATCTTTGCATGCAGCTGTAAAAAACAGACTGCCAGCATGCTGCTTGACTGTGGAGAAAAAGAGGCCAGGTGAAACAATGACGCACCTGACCAGCAGGCACATTCTTCACCCCTCCAGCACCAGAACCATTGACAGCAGGCACTGGCAGCCATACTGCAGCCTCAGAGTCACATGTTCCCCGACGCTCATTACCCAACCATCCCAATCCCAAGCACTGCAGACAGAGCTTCCGGATATGGGACTCCCCCCGCCCTCCCCCCCCCTCCAAGAGTTGCAGTGGAACTAGGGACAAAAAGACCACCACAGAGCACCGAAACCATTCTTTCAGCTCAGCACTTACCGGAGGTTCTGAAACAACATCTGAGCACAACGCTGGAAGCAGACCCAAGGGCAATGTGTGAACTAGCAACATGGATAGGTCAGGTAAGTTTTCTTATACTCACTTAACAGTGAAAGGTTTTCCCTTGAACGCTCACACGTATAAAGGCAGGGATGCACACTGGGTATGGGGCTCAGATGAGCAGTGGGAAGGCAACAATCGTTGTGTAACCCTTCTCACTCACTAGCAAGCAGTTTGTCCAGATGACATGTTCCACATCTCTGCCACTGATGTGGAAACGCTAGAGCTGGCCCCACACAGAACCAATTCAGATATAGGGCTTTATTTGGCTCACTTGCAGCTTCCTGCAAATAGCTATAGTTCTTCCAGAACTAGCATACTGGAACAGCCACTCAGCAAGCAGCATTCAAGCTGGTAAGTATTGAGGGACAGACACACGTTCGGCATGGCATTCTCAAGTTCAGACATGCAAAGGTCTTACCTTGCTCGCAGCACATAACAAAAAGTAGCCTGGGCCACTTTTATGCAGATTCCCAAGAAACACCATTGCAACCTTGCTAAAGTGATTCTCCATGAGCTAACTGAAAAGAGTAATTTGAAATTCATTTCCTTCTGGACAGAGACTAAGCCTACTGGATTTCAACCCCAGTGAAACAAAAGCTTTGAATAACTGCTGAAAAGCATGTAGAGCACACAGAAAGAACAGAACCTTACTTGGCCTGTGTAACCTTACATTACAGCCTGGTGTCTGAAGGAGTCATTAGAAAAGCCCAGCACTTGCACCCAAGAAAGCTTACTTCAACCCAATTCGCTGGTGATGGGTCAGCTTGTGCTCATTTTTTCTTAGATCTAGGAGAATTAAGAAAAAAAAAAAAGTTACTTAAGGAATAAAAATCCAATGCAAAGATGACACACACAAAGAATACGTAACAAGAAAACAGCGACCTCAAACACAAAGGAAGAGATTTTAAACTGACTACTCAACAGCTGATAGGATGAGTACAAATGCACACTTGCCTATAAAGACTTCAATAGACCATTCACCTCAAAGCCAAAATCCTTGTTATTTTCCATGTAATCTGTAAGTACTTTGGATGTGTGTGTAATGCCTTTAGCCTGTGCACTAACTTTAGCATCTTACACACTTTCCTCAAAGCCTAGGGCATATCTGCTATCACAGTACCACTGTGGAACAGGCAACTTGACAGAAAAAAAAAATTATTGGAGTGTGAACTGAGGACCCAAAGTTACACTTACCTTCTAAAGTCTTAATTCCTTCCTCGACAAACTTCCTAGCAGCAGCAGGACTGCAAAGAGACAAGGCAATCTGCCATCAGGAACAGCAAGAATCTTGCAACACTGAAAAGGACATTAGAATTCACTATAACTGCCTAGGTTCTTCAAGGCCAAGACTGAAGTCGCTTCTGATGCTTACCCTCTTTTCAGCATACATATTTTCAGTTTGTACTTTCAGTCAGCAGAGGTGGCTATCCAAGGCTTGGCCTGCACATTTTTTAGCACTGGTATAACTATATAGCGATGTATAATTGTAAAAAATAAACAAACAAAATCTAACCAAATAGACAATATTGCTTTAGACAACAATACTGAATGCACGATAAGAACTACTTTAACCACAATCAGTCTCTGAACCAGCTTAAGGCAACAGTAACACAAAAGTGTCTTTAGACTAGCACTTCAAAAAACACAACAAGGCTCCAATTTGCAGCCTACAGTACAGTAAAGCAGTCCCAGCTCCAGTCCTGCTGGAGAGTTTGCCTTAAGCACAACACTCAAGTGAATGGCTGAACCTTTTTCCTCTTTAAGGGTTTGTTATTAATCTGCGTGACTCTGCGGGGAAAGAACAACGTTTCAACTGAGAGACAGGCATTCAAGTAATGTTATACCCAGACACCTATCTAATATATCAAAACACTGAGAACCACCAGCCTGGAAGCATAGTCTGTTCCTGGGGAACTACTCTCCAGCTACTCTGGAATCCCATGGTTACAGCTCCACCACCCTTAAAGACTTTGAATCCACTTTCTCAATAAAACTCTTACATTACAATAGAATTATCAGATCTTGACCTGCCATTTCCTTCCTTCCTTACCCTTCCCTGCATCTCTTGCCAGATTCCAGACCAAGAGAGGCAACTTCCACTGTCCTGAGACAGGACAGCACCCAAGCTTCTCCTGCATCCCATCCCAATTTCTCAAAGGCATTCTCAAACCCCAGTATATCCTCAGATTTTGAGCACATTTTCTCTCAGAATTACTTGAGAACGATCACATTCCCTACCCTCAACCTCAAGGGTTTCAAACGTTGCACAAGAGCCCTGATGGTTTTTTGGGGATTGTTTTTGTTTTGTTGCCTGTTTCAGGGCTCTTAATTCTCCTTTTACAAACACACAACAGAGCACCATTGTCTCTGGACCCAACTTCCCACCAAAGTCCCAAAGGGACTCCTCACTTCCACTCTTCTCAGTCTTTCGCGATTCCGTTCTTGACCAGCTCTTCTCTCCTTCTCCTCTCAGCTTGTACACAGGAGCTTCCCCCTTCCGCTCCTCTACCACAAAGTCTGTAATTGAAGATTCTATACCCTTTCTTCTCAGTCAATCGTGTCATCACAACTATGGTGTCTCAGTGTGGGCACAGCAGCATCAGCTCAAACTCATTCTCTTCATTATTTGCAATGACCCAAATTCTATTCGTAACTCCACCAAATAAACAGAAGGAGGAAAAAAAATCAAAACCAAAAAAGAAACAAACAAAAAAACTTTACCCAATGCCAGTAACTCGTGTCAGGAGATTGATAGATGCACTTGTATCATCTTGTCGAATCTTCAAAAACAAAAACAACACAACCCAAACCCTTCTTTACTCCATTTGCAATAAACAAAGAAAACTTGAGAAGATAAAACAGCTTAGTCAGACTCTGCTTTGGAGGCTCGCTATAAATCAATGCAAAACAGTACCAAGGGTAGTACTGTGTATCACGATAATGCCCCATGTACCAAGCCTGAAAACTGCCTAACTACCCGTGCTAAGGTGAACAGCATGGTTAAACCACAAAACTCCACAGCCTTCCAGAGTCGGAATTCCACTTCTCACAGAAGACATTCACGTGCTGATTATATAACTTAAAATATTTTCATAAATAGACAGTTTTGAGGCTTTGGCTGAGCTTCTCGTTCCCTGCTTTCTACTCACCAGAGACTCCACGTCCACCATTCTTAAGCTTGACATCAGTCTCTCCAGGGACAACAGAAATTGCACAAAGCAAGCAGGCTACTTTGCAAGTTACAAAGAAAAGCAACTATTGAGAAATAGAGCACAAGGGAAAGAAACCCACCTTTTCCAATTTGCGTAGTTTTCCAGTGGATAAGAACTCATCTATCTTCTCAGCTATTTTAGCACCTACTCCATCCTAAATATTGGGGGAGGGGGGGGAGACAAGTTACCTTCAAGATCACTTAAAGCCATTATATCTAGGAAAAAAAAAGGAAAGCTTCCCAGAATTCAGAGTCCAGAAAGAACAATGACGCCACTGAGACCATGACAAAATATCGGACCATAAGGGAGCACAAGAATTCAAGGGTACAACACAAGCAGCACGAACACTGTAACTCAAGGGCTATATTAAAAGTTCCCCCAAAGCAGTGATTTTGAACAAGGCTTTGATTATTACTGCTCAAGTTCCCCGAGTTTAGCGAGGCAGTAACAGAGCAAAGGGAAAACCTGCCACAACAGAATCCTTTTACAGGCAGAGAGTCAGCTGGAGTCCCCACTTCCAGCTACGGAACCCCCGCAGCAGCCACACAGCACCCCCGTCCCCGAGCCCTGACTCGGCCACCCGAGAGAGGGGCTGGCACAGGCGGGGGCAGTCCCCACCCTCCCCGGGGGCCCCCGGGACCGCGCCCCCGCCCCGGGCGCCCCCAGGGCCCCCC